ATCTTTGTCGTTGGGTTTGCCATCTGTCCATCGCCATGCTTGCGATATGTCTTTACGTCTGCTTGAACCACTCTTACGGAAACAGTGTCTCCATCGGGCGCCCATTTTACCGTAAAAACCAACGAGACAAAAGGTGGAAGCCCTTACAACAAGGTCTGGCGATTGTGAGATGGAAGCGCTTACAGCAAAGTCTTGCGACTGTAACGTGGAAACGCTTACAGCAAAGTCTAGAGATTGTGAGGTGGAAGCGCTTACAACAAAGTCTGGCGATTGTGAGATGGAAGCGCTTACAACAAGGTCTGGGGACAGTCAGGTGGAAGCGCCTACAACAAAGTCTGGCGATTGTGAAGTGGAAGCGCTTACAACAAAGTCCGGCGATTGTGAGGTGGAAGCGCTTACAACAAAGTCTGTCGATTGTGAGGTGGAGGCGCTTACAACACGGTCTAGCGACTGTCTGGTGGAAGCGCCTACAGCAAAGTCTGGCGATCGTGCTGTCCCCGTGTTTTGTTGATATTATACCTCGCATGTATATGATTAGCCCCAAGCCCCCAGTGTGCGGCGCGATACTGCGACATCCATGTGTCTTCGACACGGCTCAGCACATAGCGCAGTTGTGCCTCGGCCCGTCCCCATCGCGACTCGCCCACCACACCGGCTGCCCTTCTCCCCCACCACACCGGCTGCCCTTCTCCCCCACCACACCGGCTGCCCTTCTCCCCCGCCACACCGGCTGCCCTTCTCCCCCGCCACACCGGCTGCCCTTCTCCCCCCACCACACCGGCTGCCCTTCTCCCCCACCACACCGGCTGCCCTTCTCCCCCGCCACACCGGCTGCCCTTCTCCCCCGCCACACCGGCTGCCCTTCTCCCCCGCCACACCGGCTGCCCTTCTCCCCCGCCACACCGGCTGCCCTTCTCCCGCCGCTCCGCGTGCCACCGCCCGGGCCTCGTTGCGTCGGGGCGCTGCCTGCCGGCGCCCGTCCCCCGGCGGGTGTCGTCGGTGCTGGTGCTGGCGGCGCTGATCTGGGGGCCGGCGGCGCGCTGGCGTCCGGTCAGCACCCCCTCCGCGGATGTCCCACTCAGGTGCCCTCCGACCCGCCGTCAAGCGCCGTCCAGAACCAGGCAGCGGCCAGACTGTAGACGGCTGACTACTTGCCAGGTGGTGCCGACTCTTCGCTCTGCACGGACTGATAGGGGCAAGACGGGCTCTCTGCGCCACCAGCCGTGTTACCGCGTGTGCTGGCGCTTGTGTTGGCAGAGAGCTTGAGGCGGCTGTGCGAGCCGGCGGTGGAGGCATGCGTGCGGGCTGGTCAGCTAGCCGTGGTCCAACAGAGCACCGACGACCTGCGCCGGAGAGGCGTCTGCTCCCCGGACCTCCTCAACGACACTCTGCAGCCGCCGGTGAACACGAGAGTGCATCCAACCCGTGGTTGGTGACGGAGGGGCTCGTTGTGCCAGCGTTCGCTTCTTGTCATTGCTATTGATCAGTAGTGGTTGATTTGATGCGTGATTACGTCCGTACAGACGTCATTTAGATATCCAGCAACAGCACGATGGCAGTCTCACCTGAATTAAGATCACGCTTATTGTCAGTGACTTGATGTCTTGAACCAATGCCTGCTCACCAGGCCACTGGTCTACTGTTCTCCCGACAGACCACTGACGGCGTGTCTGGCCACTGGTCCACTGTTCTCCTGACTGACCACTGACGGCGTGTCTGGCCACTGATCAACTGTCCTCCTGACTGACCATTGACGGCGTGTCTGTCCACTGGTCTACTGTCCTCCTGACTGACCAGTGACGGCGTGTCAGGCCACTGGTCCACTGTTCTCCCGACTGACCACTGACCGCATGTCCGGTGGGTCGTCGCCGCCATGCGCGCCGTTGGTCTGAAGCTTGTCCTGTCGGATATCACCAGCTGCGCGTACCGCCGTTGCACATCCGCTGTCCGGGAGCGTGTCCGGCTGGACAGCGCGGGCTGATTTCGCTCTGGCGTGGTCTCCAAGAGACGGACACGGATTTATCCCGGCCAGTGACGGCGCCGGTCGGCTGTGTGCTCGATTCGCCACTGCTGCTGCCGCTGCCACGGAGTCCACATGGAGCCCGCTGCTCTAGGTCCCGCTCCAGTCCAGCACGGCCGAGACCGCCTGGACGTCACCCACCAGGCTCACCATGGTCAGTCAAGAGGCGGCGGGCTGGCCGTGGCCAGGTGTCCGACACGTGTGGGGTCAGTGGTGGGCGTGCCAGTGGCTCGTGGTGACCACATCGAGTGGTTACTCCTCGTGTGGGGTCAGTGGTGGGCGTGCCAGTGGCTCGTGGTGACCACATCGAGGGGTTACTCCTCGTGTGGGGTCAGTGATGGGTGTGCCAGTGGCTCCCGGTGACCACATCGAGGGGTTACTCCTCGTGTGGGGTCAGTGGTGGGCGTGCCAGTGGCTCGTGGTGACCACATCGAGTGGTTACTCCTCGTGTGGGGTCAGTGGTGGGCGTGCCAGTGGCTCGCGGTGAACACATCGAGGGGTTACTCCTCGTGTGGGGTCAGTGGTGGGCGTGCCAGTGGCTCGTGGTGACCACATCGAGTGGTTACTCCTCGTGTGGGGTCAGTGGTGGGCGTGCCAGTGGCTCGCGGTGACCACATCGAGTGGTTCTTCTCGTGGCCTGCTAAGCACCCGATTGAGGTCGTGCCGTGTTTAAAGGCCGCAAGCTCAAATGATGTGTGGGAAATGGTGTACATCATTGTGTGTTGTGCCATGCTGCCTTTGCAATGAGCAGCATGGCACGCGAGTGCAATATTTGTCATTTTCCGGTTTTGCACTTTTCAATTTGCAATACTAAGCCTCTCATGCCTCCAGATTGCATCGTTGCATTCAGCCCTAATCGCTCATGATTCAAGACTGTTTCAAAGATAGCCGCAACTGTGGAACAAGTCCAATATGCAACATAAAAGGAGAGTAATTGCCACGAGCTACGACGTAAAAGCGGAAGTTTTTAGTCAACATAAAGCGCATGTCCACACTTCGCTTTTTTCACAGGCTCCTTTTGTTGAAAAATGACGCACTTTGTGTCACCAATGTCTCTTGTCACATTTTTTTGTTATACACTCCACAAAAGTCAGCATAATTACATGGAAAGGCAACGATACGTAAAGTATGGAAAGTCTTTACCCAGAGAAAGTATTCAGGAATTTCAATGTAAAAGTGGCAATGGAATATATCTCACAATCACGCCGTTCGTTCCCTCCTTCCTTCAAAGCAGCCCAAGAGCAGCTTTGCTCGCTCTGAAAGTAATATATGTTTCATCAGTTCAGTTTTCATTTCAGTAATAATTGCGGTCTTGCCACCCGCTAACTTTGCACGCTCCTGACGCGCACGCGCCCCCGCGGCCAAAAACATCACAGCGCCGCGAAATGTTGACGGACTTTGGTGGCTCGACAGAATGCGGCCGGGTTATTTTGCCGGCGTAGTCTGTTAGGCTTGGCTTGGACGTCCACGGATTGGTAAGGCCGTTTGCGAGACCACGTGGCCGACTGCACGTCCGCGTGATGTGGGGTGACAGCAGCAGGGGCGTAAGTCACTACATGTCAGCCACGCAGCTCAAGTGTAAAACATGGCCGCCTACGGCTAGAGCCGCTGTGCATATGGGGCATACCAGGGGTGCAATCTGGAAAGGAACAATCGCGTTAAGTTCTCGCTACATGGCAGGCTCATGGCTGGTGTCCGGCGTGTAGACGACCTGGCTTCAAGGGGATTGCGCCAATGAGCCACAATGCATCGATTTTTACCAATCGCATTCCGACCATTTTTACGATAGTTTGTATGCTACGTCAATTACATCTAAACCGTCTCCAAGAAGCAACACATGTATTCGGTCCCCCTACTCAGTTTTAGTCACATACCCTTGCCTACGTCTTGTTCCGGTTACATCACCAGTCCTTTAAAGGTCACTGTGACTCCTGTTTTGCCCCGTTTGTGTCAATCCGTCCTGGCAACATTTCCTGACATACAGACGTAAAATTCAGCTCGGCTGGCGCTGCCGGAGAGCTCGCCGCCGTCCAGCCGCAGCCTGCCGCTTCCAAGCGGCCATACGGTGCTGCCGGAGAGCTCGCCGCCGTCCAGCCGTAGCCTGCCGCTTCCAAGCGGCCATCCTACGCTGCCGGAGAGCTGGCAGCTGGCAGGGCTTTCCAGCCTGACGCCGACAGAGGGCATTTTCGTAGCGCCGCGCTGGTTCGCTGCTCTCCAGACCGGCGGCCGGCCTGCGCCACCTGCTCCCGACGCTCCTCGTCTGTGGACCGCACATCATCCACGCATTCCAGCAGCTCTGCGCATACGGGCAGCTAACCCGTAGTGGCGATGCTGTGTCTGCCCCGGTAGGTGTGCTTCGGTGAGATAGGGACCACCGGCTGAAGGACAACCGGCTGACCCTGTGGCGTTCAAATTTGTGGGATCTTCCAAGTTTTCTTCCAGGTTTCCAAGATCGTCCAACCTCTTCCAAGTTTCTATGCTACCATCTTAAGATAGAACACTGCTAAAGCTTTGGCAAAGCTTGGCGGGTAAACATAAGAAATAGTGTAAACAACAATTTCAAATATGTGACAGCGACGGGCAGGCGGGCCGCCGTCACTGCTCAGTCGGCTCCTCGCCACATTTGTTGCCGCTTGATGCCCCACTGCAGCCGCACAACGAATTTTTGCTGGTGGCCGCACTTTTTGACCGACAGTCACCACGTCTGACAGTGCAGAGAGACGTGACTGGCGCACGTCATTGGCACACGTCATTGGCACACGTCATTGGCGCACGTCACTGGCGCACGGTCTGCGCTGTGCAGCTCTCTTGCCCACCTTTTTGGGAGCAATGGTGGTATATCGCTTATTTCCAATACTCTGGCTATTCTTTCATGGTGGGAGAATCGTTTTTTTCAGCTTACCGACTGCGGGCAGCATCACTGTCAAAGACTGAGGGTATCTTTCAGAACAGACGCGAAGCGTGCGCAGAACACCATGCCTTATTTCCTGTCAGCAGTATCGGGCCTCACGCAATGCTCGTCTGTTCCCCACACCTCCGACACTTTGACGGACTTGGCTGGCTGCTCTCGGCTGACGTAGGCACACAGCTCGCAGAACTCCTCATAGCGACTAATACGGTGGCTACTGCGCCACGCGAAATAGCTCTCGTACGCGGTGCGGTTCTCCGTGAGCGAGGTGAGATACGCTGCCAGCTGGTCCACACTGTCAAAGTTCTGCACGTGAATGAAGGAGTGGGGCGGGGCCACGCGGCGGTAGGCCTCGGGAGGTGGTCCGCGCACCACCGGCACCATACCCGCCCGCAGGGCGTGCCAGAACTTCTCCGTAATGTAGTCCTCGCACAGGCTGTTCTCGAATGACAGGTAGAAGAAGTGCGACGCGGCTAGAGCTCGGTAGCAGGCCGCCGGGTTTCTTCCAGCGCTTTGGTCGCTGGGGCACTTCAGCGTCCCGCATTTGCCGTAGGTGTCCACGGAAATATGCCGCCCGAGCCTCTTGACGTATCTCTCCCTCTTGGAGTGGGTGGTACAGTGGGACACCACCCAGGCAGCTGCGCGAGATCTGTCGATATGCCACCTTTGTTAATGAGCACTCATGCACCCGCCACAATCTGCAGAAATCGAAAGCGACGTAAGCACACCCCTCGGCACTAAGTAGCGGCGTCCAGCGAAATGGAGAAGGGTGCATGTCTTGACTAAACAAGCTGATTTTGCTGCAGAATTGCCCACGCTTCGCACGTGTTTCGAAGGTCGAGGCAAGGCATACGCCGTTCGCATTCTGTCATGTACAGAGCACGTGTAAAATGAAAACCCGAGTGATAGAATCCTTCTAACAAGGGGCTTATTTTCCGTCTTCCAGTAATGGCTGACCCAGGGCTTATTCTACGTTGATCCTTACGCTGAAAGAAAAAAAGGTCTTCCGCCCACTGAATCCTCCAGCGCTGGTAGGTCTCGTGATATAACACACTTTTTTTGCAAAACAAAAACAACCTTGCTTCGTGCACAAAACTGAAATGCTTTTGAAGAAGCGTGTCTGCCTCGCATTGAAACATTATTTGTTATGTCGGTGACACAGAAAAAAATGGCATAGAGGGCTAAGGAAATTCCGTGGTCGCAGACATTTGATGGCCATAAAGGTGCGTAACACAGCAGGACACCGCATGCAATGGTGTAAGCCAGGTGTCAAAAGAAAGACCTCGTGGAAAGATCGGAGACCACTAGATGACGCTACCTTTTCGAGAACTCCGGCAGCTCTCCCTCCTGTCTGCCAGCCACCGTGATGCCGAACGGAGTCAAGACGTCCGCGTCGCGGTGGTAAGTCATCGTCGCATTGAAAAAGTAGTCCAGCGGCTTCCAGTTGGTACTGGTCAGCGCGGGGGGGCTCACCCAGATAGAACACAAACAGCTGATCTGGCCGTTTGTGTTGAGGAAGGTCTGTCCTGCGCAGAGACTGGCCGTGGAACAGAACGGCGCGCGCCTGATGCAGCATGGCCCTGTTACTGGTTCCGAAACAGTTATTGATTGGGCAGCCAGCAAAGGCCTCGTGGCCGAATCCGCGGTAGAAGTCGGTTCGTCCGTATGGACCTACCCAGTACAGAATTACGTTTACGACTGGTTTAAAGGAGTGCTGGTCTGACTTCGAGATGCTTTCTGGTGCCAGCTGTCGGGGCCAGCCGGCAGTGGTGGCCGATGTGCCCACTTTTAGCGCCTTCGGTGGTTCACGGCTGGAAACATTCTTCCGTTGAAATGGTGCGAGCTGGTAAGCCGGCATGGAACGCACCGTAATGAAAACCCGTACAAGGAGAAAGAGTACTAGAGCCCCGACTAAGAGTTTTTTTGCCAAGCAGGACGTTGATAAATGAGTGTGCATCCTTGCATAGACGTAGCTGGAAAAGTGCACAATGGTCAGTACATGCACGGTGTTGGTGTTTTCTTCATGTCCTCTGTCTACCCTAGTGGGTTTCCAGCCTATTTCTCAAACGGGGAGGGCTGCTCCAGCCATTTTGAGAGTGGAGAACAGTGGGGCGAGTGACACAGAGCGGGTGGGGTGATGGTCTTTACGGGAGACGACAAACTATTCTGGTTTGAACAAAACTGGCATTTCCTATGGCAGCAGTGTTCGCTGTTAAGCATGTCTTTAACAATCACCAACGATGCCCTAACAGGGCAGAAAAACGGGCTTGAGGCGGCGACGACTACATCTCTTAACCTTTTCGACAGAACCAGGTTGCGCTTATAACTGATATTTTTGTGTCCTTACAGGGATGAGCACATTTATGCGAGCGAACTTACAGCGACATCAAAGTAGCCGGGCTACGTTCTCGGTATGCTCTGACATCTGTAGGACGGCCCACCCAGCTTGCACGCGTCAATCGTGCAACGCATTATCTGAGCCCGATGCGTCACGTACTATGGCACCGTGTGACATCTGTAGGATGGCCCATCCAGCCTGCACGCGTCAATCGTGCAACGCATTATCTGAACCCGATGCGTCATGTACTATGGCACCGTGTGACATCTGTAGGATGGGCCATCCAGCCTGCACGCGTCAATCGTGCAACGCATTATCTGAACCCGATGCGTCATGTACTATGGCACCGTGTGACATCTGTAGGATGGCCCATCCAGCCTGCACGCGTCAATCGTGCAACGCATTATCTGAGCCCGATGCGTCACGTACTATGGCACCGTGTGACATCTGTAGGATGGCCCATCCAGCCTGCACGCGCCAACCGCACAACGCATTATCTGAACCCGAGGCGTCACGTACTATGGCACCGTGTGTTATTGTGGCTTTAGGACGCGCTCGACTGCTGAGGCTACACGGTGTTACCTGCCTCTCACCCTGGCGCCGGCGGGAAGGGCGGGCACCGCGAAGAATTGAACCCCGTACCTCTGGCCTCTCAGACGTGTTGTGGTTAACGCAGACGTGCTAACCACTACACTGCCGGTAGCGCGCACCCTCACAACGACATCGGTGACAGGCTTCATTGAATGCAGCAAAATCCTTCATTAACCCAAAGATTTGTCTGTTGCATTTAAGAAAACGTCGACTTTTCTATAACAACCCAAACTCGGTGGCCAATTTCGTGCGAACCATTGATTAATTGAACTTGCCATCTGATATCATTACTGGCTGCAGTGACGAAGACCAGTGCAGTTCACAGATTTCGGTTTTAGAGTCCGGTCCAATCCGGAATGGTCCCAGGATGCTCAAATCCAGTCCTGCTCGGCTCGTCTCACCAGCAATGCGCGCCAATCTGGTACCAATTTGATCACGTGTCTTTGCCACCCGCTCTGGATTGGTGGATGCTTGCAGCGGGACAGGGTAGCTGCCAGGCTGGCCGGGGTTCAGAAACCTTCCCCCGGACCAAACAGCGTTACTGAGCCAAGCGGAGCCTGAGAAACACTGCTGATCAGCACATCCGCTACTGAAACACTGCTGATCAGCACATCCGCTGCTGAAACACTGCTGATCAGCACATCCGCTGCTGAAACACTGCTGATCAGCACATCCGCTGCTGAAACACTGCTGATCAGCACATCCGCTGCTGAAACACTGCTGATCAGCACATCCGCTGCTGAAACACTGCTGATCAGCACATCCGCTGCTGAAACACTGCTGATCAGCATATCCGCTGCTGAAACACTGCTGATCAGCACATCCGCTGCTGAAACACTGCTGATCAGTACATCCGCTGCTGAAACACTGCTTATCAGCACATCTGCTGCTGAAACACTCCTGATCAGCACATCTGCTGTTGAAACACTGCTTATCAACGCATGCGCTGCTGAAACAGAATGCTGATCGGCCAGAGCCAGCAGCCGCGCAGCCCACATCCAGAAAACAGCATCTGCTGTGCGCCAGATCTCCGAAATAAATCGGCAGTTATGGCTGGCAATGTGCAACAAAACACCGGCGCCCTTCTGGAGCGACGCTGTGACAGCGCCGGTGTCACACCAGGTGGGATCAGCGCCGGTGTCACACCAGCTGGGATCAGCGGCCGTGTCACACCAGCTGGGATCAGCGCCGCTATTACACCAGCTGGGATCAGCACCGGTATCACACCAGCTGGGATCAGCGCCGGTGACACACCAACTGGGATCAAGAAAGCCGCGTCTCGTGAGGGACTGACACCGGGCGCCGAAGGCATGGTGTCGGGGAGAGCGGAGCGTGCCTTGTCAGAGGGAGCCGAGGTAGCCGCCAGGCGTGCCTCATCAGGGGGAGCCGAGGTAGCCGCCGGGCGCGCCATGTCAGAGGGAGCCGAGGCAGCCGCCGGGCGCGCCATGTCAGAGGGAGCCGAGGCAGCCGCCGGGCGCGCCATGTCAGAGGGAGCCGAGGCAGCCGCTGGGCGCGCCATGTCAGAGGGAGCCGAGGCAGCCGCCGGGCACGCCATGTCAGAGGGAGCCGAGGCAGCCGCCGGGCGCGCTAGGCAGTCTTGATGCCGTCCGCGGGGCCACGGGGCCGGCTGAGGTCGTTAGCGGAATGCCGACCAGCGTAGCCTGCTCGGCCAGCGGCGCGCTCGTAATGAGAGACCCTGCTGCTGGCCGGCGCTATCCGGTGGCCCGCGGCGGCGCTCGCGGCCCGCCGACAGAGGGCAGCACCGGACAGCGTGCACAGGTGGGGAGGAGAGGCGGGTCGCTATGCTATGCTAAATGAAGCGATTCTGGAAACCCCGGGAGATAAAATTGATTCCCATCCCGACCCAAGCGTGAGTTAAAAGGCATGTTTCACATATTTATGGGGATTAAACTGATATTACCAATTCGAAGACCACGCGGTGCAGTTCACAGCTCTACCCATCTTAAAAGGGAATGCTTCACGTTTGAAGACTACTGAAGCAAGCAGCAGATATGATGTAACAAGCTCATTAATAGCTATTAGTATGCTTCTACGTAGCAAAGACTGCACCGGACACCACAATTGCTCTGTTATCTGTTAGGTAAATATGCCTCGATGCGTTTTTGTTTGATCACGTGATCGTAGGTTGCACGACATTGAGAACCAATTATCGGCCGTTTCATCTGGAAATTGTGCTCACGAAAGCCGGATGTGAACGACTTGACCATTACATTTTCTCGGCCTGATCGCCGTATGGTTTATGAAATGGTAGGATTTGAATGACGCTATTATGACGCTATGAATGCCAAGTATTACCAAAAATACTCTCCCTGGAAAAATTTTCGTCATTGCCGCGGGTGTATAGCTCGGCAACTAGAAGGGTTTAGGTCTTGAGAAGGGCAGGGCTGTAAACTGCGCAGAAAGGTTTTTGAGATTTTAGTTTAGCTCTTTTAGTTCAAAACCTCCTTTAAATATGGAACACTCTGTTTAAGACCTAATATCCTCCAGTTTCTGAACTACATGCCCGCGAAGATGTGCGCCGTTTGCACGCATTTCGTGCAGACTATTTCAGGCTCATTCGCACACGCGTGATGTCAAAGAAACTCGGCTCAAATTGTCCCACCCCATCAATATTGAGCAGGCTGTAAAAGTTTCAATCAAGAATCACGTTCCGTGCTACATGATATAAGATGCAGGACATGGTTGTTAGTTATGAAGGAAATAAGGCTTGTAAGCAATTCAATCACGAACAGTGCCATAACCGTACGTGAGCACGTGAGCACGTGAATGCAAATCACTCCTCAAACCCGCGCATTGATATGCAAGAACACCACGAGAAAGGGACAAAACACGAATACGCTGGATATTTGGTTCAACAAGCACCTGCAGCACCGTTAATTTCCCCACTTGGAGAGATCTAAATTCTGTGAGTGCGAGGGTAACAATTTTTGCACAGGTAGTTTGGCAGCACCTCAACGTCATAGACACGTTGCATGACGAAATCACACAATGACGTATTGAAGAGCGTACCTATTCAACAGGAAAATTTTGCTGTCTAGAGCATTTTTTACAGTAACCAATAAACATTTATAAAAAGTTGCCAAGTGAGCTAATTTAACACGCGCCCTGGTGGCCAGCTAGATGCCCTTCGCTCGGGTGGGGCTGGGGCCAATTTGACCCCCACCTGAGATCTCAAAAATTAAGAGAGCTAAATACACCAAATTTACAGAGTGTGTTGACCTGTACGTGAACTCATTTAGGTATAAGTTTCAGGTTCTTAGATTATGACCTTCGGGTCAAAAAGGTCAAACAAGGTCAAGTTCCAAGTCGGTCTCCAAAGTGCGCCCAGAGCCTCGATAACCATTTCTAAGCAAAAGGTCAAATTCTCATTCAAAGTCAGTGACGTTGTTCGACCTTTTGAAGGTCAATGTAACCAAAATTATACAAGATTGGTCTGAGTTTTGCATTTGCCTAAGCGACA